AAGAAAAACGTCAACCCGCCATGGTTTAACAATATTGTGGGATTCATTTTGACGCCAAACATTCTTTAGGTAGGAATCCCAATTTTGAAAATTTTTTTTGTTACACTCACATATGTAACATCGTATGTCACCCCAAAACATACTAACCAAAAGTTAAAAGATTAAGGCTGAAATTTGGGCATAAACGAAAAAAATCTGCCAATAAATACATAGACGAAAGAGAGTTTACTGTTCATCCATCTCTTTTCTTCTCATTTTTGGAGATTCCACCGAAATATTGATTAAAAAAAGTTCCTGCTAGCTATTTATTATGTTGAGAAATGCTTGTTTTAAGCTGCATTTTGTTTTTGTTTTGATTTGAAGAAAAACGTCAATCTGCCATGGTTTAACAATATTGTGGGATTCATTATAACGCCAAACATTCTTTAGGTAGGAATCCCAATTTTTGAAAAAAAAATTGTTACACCCACATTTATAACATCTTATGTCACCCAAAAACTAACTAAAATATATCTTTTTTGTCTTTTATCAATTAACAGTTCATTTAACGATACCCAAAAATATTATTCAATATAACTTATTATTAGCCGAAAAATTATTATTACATAGTGAGTAAAAGTATCCATCTCTATTTTTTTTCCTTTTTGGAGATTCCACCGGAATATTGACCGGAAAAAGTTTCTGCTAGCTTTTTATTATGTTGAGAAATGCTTGTTTTAAGCTACAATTTGTTTTTGTTTTTATGTTTTGATTTTAAGAAAAACATCATCCAGCCATGGTTTAACAATATTGTGGGATTCATTTTGACGCCAAACATTCTTTTGGTAGAAGTCCCAATTTTTGGAAGTTTTATTTTTTTACACCCACATTTGTAACATCGTATGTCACCCCAAAACTAACTAAAATGTATTTTTTTGTTGTCTTTTATCAATTAACAGTTCATTTAACGATACCCAAAAATATTATTCAATATAACTTATTATTAGCCGAAAAAATTATTATTACAAAGTGAGTAAAAGTTAAATCTACCAAAGTTAAAGGATTAAGACTGAAATTTGGGCATAAATAGAAAAATAGGCTAATAAATACATGTGACGAAAGAGAGTTTACTGTTCATCCATCTTTTCTCTTCTCCTTTTTGGAGATTCCACCAGAATATTGACCGGAAAATTTTTTGCTAGCTCTTTATTATGTTGAGAAATACTTGTTTTAAGCTACATTTTGTTTTTGTTTTGATTTGATAGAAAAACGTCATCCAGCTATGGTTTAACAATATTGTGGGATTCATTTTGACGCCAAACATTCTTTTGGTAGGAATCCCAATTTTTGAAAGTTTTTTTTTGTTACACCCACATTTATAACATCGTATGTCACCCCAAAACTAACTAAAATGTATTTTTTTTCTTTTATCAATTAACAGTTCATTTAACGATACCCAAAAATATTATTCAATATAACTTAATATTAGCCGAAAAAGTTATTGTTACACAGTGAGTAAAAGTTAAAGGATTAAGACTGAAATTTGGGCATAAACGAAAAATAGGGCAATAAATATANGAGATGAAAGAAAATTTACTGTTCATCCATCTCTTTTCTTCTCTTTTTTGGATATTCCATCGGAATATTGACCGGAATAAGTTTCTGCTAACTTTTTATTATGTTGAGAAATGNTTGTTTTAAGCTACA